ATTAATTTTTCTTAATTGTTTTCTAATGCCAGACAAATGTCAATTCATTGTTTATTCTAATTATTTAGGGGATTGAATGCCCCAGAATAAAATTGAATTTTCTTTCTTTCTAAAAACAAATTTACGAAAATAACAGTAGTAATACATATGTATAATATATCGTTGGAAAGCTAAAGATTATAGAAAAAAATATATAACTAACATGTAAAGTCATATATGGTATTGTATTGGAGAGTAAATAAAAAAATATGGTTATTAATTTTAAGAAAACAAGGAAACAATATTTCCATCGAAACTAAATGAAATTTCCAAAATAAATGGAAACTTTTACAATTATTTTTTAGCAAGACAATTTATAATGCACAGTACATCAAACTGACGTTCTATAGAATCGATAGAATGAAAATTGTTCAGTGAGAAAACATATAAATAAATCAATCAATCATTTGAAGTTGATATTTAATAAGTTACGCACTCACTCCAAACAAGGTGAAAAAGATTATTCCAAGTTTATAATTTCCTCCTGGAGCCACAATTTCCATCTGAAGATCAGGATTCTTTCTCTTCCACTTGAGTATGTTCCGTAGATATTCGTGAGCCTTCAAACATTTTATGAAAAAATTATAAAACAAAATTAGTAATACTTGATAAACTTCCGTTTTTGTGTTATCAAATGAACATGTCTCGATAAACCGCAATTAATATTTAACTAAAACTTAGATGAATAGCTAAAGGAAAATTATTTTTCAATCTGAACAACATATCAGGGATATCTTCAGCAGGTACTTCTTTCAAAGGATCTGCTATTTCCATTTTTTAAATACTTCTTCTAGTTTCAAACTAAGAGGAAATCCTAATACAGCTCCCGAAGAAAATTTCAAATTGATACTAATTTCTTTATGAAATTAAATATAATATCAAGCTGAACTCATCTAAATAATTTTGATTATAGAACCATAATAAGGCACGGGCGGATTTAAGGAGGAGGGGGGGCTTTCGTGCTGAAGCCCTCCCCCCAAAATGCCAAAATATAATCATGTTTTATCGAAAAAAATATTTAAAAATTATCTCTTAAAGTATTATTGTTCGTGTAATTACATTTTAAAGGATTTTAGGAATCACTTAAACACCATTTCATTCAGATAGTTAGCTTCTTTCTTTTTTTCCAAAGTAATTATCGTTATTTTTATGAAAAAAAAAACTTTCGGGCTGAAGCCCCTCCAAAATTAAATCCTGGATCCACTAGTGTAATAAGGTGAAGTGTAGACTAGTGTCTACTAGAATATTTTAAAATAGTGGTCAGGGATGTCATGAGAGGGGAGGGGAGTAGAGAGGGAGGGAGTTTTCTTTAACAGTTTGAAACCCAATAAGTTGAGAAATTTGAGAACTTGATTCTAACTGCGAAACTGGTGGCAAAACATTTCACCAAAATTAAGACCAATACCAATAACTTTAAATTCAGGAAATTGGAATATTATCGATACAATGTTGTGATTGAATTGAAAGAAAATTATTTTTGTTATGTATCAATGGTCACTGTTAATTAATCTAAGGCATGAGCTTTTTCATAGACCGAAAGGTAGGACGATAGGCATAGAAGGCTGGCTATCAATTTATAGTGAGTCCAAATTCCAACTAGAACTGGAGTTTCATTAAATTATTTAGTTAGTTAATGAACTGACCCTCATTCTACCGTGAAAGACAATATTGACAAGCACGGAATGCAAATTCGAATGTATCATTATTTCTAATTCGAGAATAAGACTTCCCAGAAACATTACTTTCATGTCCGAAAGGTATGTTGTAAAACATGTAAAAAAAAAAAAAATGAAATATTGGTGCCAATATTAGTGGAGGAACATTATGCTGAAAAAGGCGTTTTGCAATTCCATGACATTTAAAAGTATTGAATTTCAAAGCAGAAGAAAGTGAAAAAAAAAACTCTCAAACATGTGGTTGTAAACAAATTAGTATATGTGGGCAGGCCCTATGCAGGTATAAGAGGACACAAATATATTTTCTGAGGATTATAAAATAGAAATGTTTGATAACCAACATGAGGTCAAAAAGAGAAGTGAAAAAGATATGCCAAACGGGGAATATAGTACACACTTTAAAACATAGAGCTAAGTCATTAATGGGTATATCAGATAAAATATATTGTCATTTTAAATATTAATTTCCAAATTAGTAACGAAACATTTTGGATAAGAGGAAATTTAATATAATATACAATAAAAAGTATAATATTTTTCAGCCAGACGATGCTCCAAACACATTGCTTGGAATACTTAAGTATGAATCATCTATGATGTACCATCTATAAGATCAAGTTAGAAAAAGCAATATTTCCAATTTCAATAATTTTATGTGTGATTACTGAGCACTGGAACAAAATTTCTGTTTCAATAATATTAATTTAATGCCAATTACATTAACCAATTAAATTACAAATTATACAGCATCTTTGATGAGTACTAAATCTAGAGATTTTTCATAAAATATTAATACAACTTTTAATATCGTAATAGAGTAAATTTAGAATTGCAATTATGAAGTGTACGAATTCTTTGGATTCCTTTTTCAAATTATTTCCAATTACAAGGCAATAGTTATGCTGTAAGGTATGATTGTATATATGTTTTTATCGCCCTTAAACTGCACTACATTTATCCCACTTTTGGAAAAACTTTCTCGTTTAGTAGGCTTTCGGGCTGAAGCCCCCTCCCCAAAATGGTAAAATAACCATGTTAATAACCATGTTTTATGGAATTTTTTTTTTTTAAATACCTCTTAAGGTATTATTGTTCGTATAATTACATTTAAAAGGACTTAAGGAATCACTTAAATTCCATATCACATAGGTAGATAGGTACTTAGTTTCTTTCTGTTATTCCAAATTTTTAAGAAAAAAAAAAGGTTTCGGGCTGAAGCCCTCCCCCCAAAATTAAATCCTGGATTCGCTAGTGCTGGGTAACACTATTCTTTTGCAGCTAGTGAAGTTAAAGGGTTGACATTTTGTATGTAAATTGTAGATTTTGGAGTTCTACGAGTTATTTTGAAGCGTAAAATTTTTTTTGTCACTTTCACTATTTGAATTTTTTTGACAATTACAATCCTTATTGAAAATAATAAACAAAGATTATTTTCCTGTGCTTGGAGCAAAATAGTATAATTGACTATTATATATACAACCGGGACATAAGACTGATAGCAAGATCGTGAGAGGAGCAGAGATAGACTGATATAAAGATATTTCCTGACAATAAAAGAAAAGCGACCCTATCAAAGACCCTTAACATTAGGACCTTGGATGACCAAGAAAATATGGCCTTCTATAGGGTCATATTGTATATGCAATATGTGAGAAGAGAAGAAGAGAAGAGGAGTTTGGATATGTCTGCTTCATGAATGAGAACATGGACCCTATAAATGTATTAGAGGCTTGACCCACTGTGAAGAGACCATGAGGGCATTGTAGAGTTTCATATCAAGAATTCATGCAGTGGATTGGAAGTAAAAGAGGCAAATTCTTCAACTGAATGAAGTGGTTAAGCTGAGACCAGGGAGAGTGGATGCCCTAAATAAGAGCAGCGGCTCCTCAATGTTTGAAATGGCTTGTTAGGATGATAAAAAAAGTGGTTTCTAGGCCTCATTGATTGGGCCTCTTATCCTTTTCAGTGCACTTATAATTTGTTCTCTTCTACACATAATTCCTTTAATTAATAATATAATTGTTTGTTTTTATTATGTATATCATAATAAGTATAAAAACAAAAAATGTATTATATTTTTTAAAAATAAATACTTATTTAGCCTATTCACCTACAAAGTTTGTTTTATACATTTATATCTTAAAATAATCATTATTGTGAGAATGAGAGATAAGGAATAGAAGAGAGGAATGGAAAGGGGTGAGGGGTGGAGAATGTGCTTGTGTTTGATATAAATTTAATTCTACTATTTTCAACACCATTGGTTTGTTTTTCAAGCTAATAAGCATTTTCTATTTATTTTTAATTCTCATGATCAGCATTGTGAAATGGTAACAAAAGGTAACGGTTTAAGTGTTCTAGTAAGTGCCATTGTGAAGCAGAACATCTCTTGAAGATTACACTTGAAAATTAAACCAATGCAAAATCTAATTAGTCCCTTAATGCATAAATTGTTTTCATTTATTTTACATGATTAAAATTTCCAAACTTCATGGTTTAAAATTTTCTACAATTGTTTTTTACAAAAATTATAATACAAATCACAATATTCAATTAAAAAATGTCACATACAAATATATTCCCTAATTATTTTTTTATTTACAATTTAAAAATATAAAATAAGTACAAAATATAAACATTAATTATTAATTAAAGCAAATTTATTTATTTTAGTATATATTTTTTTGCTTCCTATTTTAACCTATATTTATGATATAAATCTTTGCTTAGAGTACTAATATCTATTACCTTTGACAGTGGCAACAGTGGCAGCTTATATTATTATTTAATAAAACATTAATAAAAAAAAAATTATAACAGTTCAATTTACTTAGCTTCAAAATATGTAAAAATTAAAATAGTAAGGAACACAAACAAAAGTTAAAGGAATTAAGAAAAATTTTGTTTGATAAACCATTTTTCTAATTCTTTCAACTGTGCCTAGAGTTCATAAATGTGTTTAACTTGATAAGCAAACAAATATTAAATTAGAAAATTGGTTTCATATGCTTTTAAAAATATCTACAATTTATACTACAGGGCATTTTCAGGCATGAATATTTTTATACTCTTGGGAATCAATATTTATATAAAATGTTAGAATTATTATATAATACACCTTTTTAGAAATTTAACTTAAATGTACAAATAACAAACATAGCCGTTAGACCAGCATTAGGTGATGATTTCAGATCAAACACAATTACATCATATTCTCAACATCTGTCGGTATGAGGAGAGGTTCTCATTTTTAAAAACATTAAGAAAATCATAACATTTCTAAAATAATTTATTTACAAGTTGTAGCTATGACATTTAATAAAATCATTAATAGTCTGTAACGTGGGACTAATAATATTGTTTGTGTTTAATTTATTTTATGGCCAAAACTAGCAATAAAAATAACAGTAAATAAGTATTTAATTTTAAATATTTTGAATCAGACTGATTAGACGGAAAAGCAATTCCAGGGCCTATATAAGGCTGTAAGTTAGTTTTATTATAGTTCTGGTAATACCACGCAATTGATTTATCAATTTGGCTGGATTTAGACTTTGGCAGAGTTTCTTCAACTGTACTTTTCGCCTGCCTTGGTATTGGTGCTTGAATTTCTTCTGCAATAGGTGAGGGAGGCACAGTCACTTTCGTTATCGTAGGTCTTCCAGAACTTCTGTAAGGAGGAAGTTGGCCGCCTGGAGCTAGAAATGCTGACAGAGGTGAAGGACTGTTTCCTGTGACTGTATTTGTTTCTTTTACTCCAGGTGCTTCAACATAGTTGTTACCTGAAGGCATAGGTAACACAAAAAATTTAAATTAGATCAATTTTAGATATATATATTCAGTACTTTATTCAAAAATAAAGTCTATGGTTCTGCAAAGTGTTGGCTATTGAAAAAAATTAATTATTCTTAATAAGTAGAAATTCTCTGTTTGAATTAAAATATTTAAATATCAATGCCAGCAATACTTGATTACTGAATAAAAAGGTCACTGAAAAATTAGTATATTTGAAAGGAAAAATTGTCATAATAAAAAGACATAAATAGTCTTTATCCAGTCATAATTTTATATTGAAGGTATTGCTCAGATTGTATAGCTCATTATCTCATCATTTTCCAATGTTTAAAAATTAAAACTCAAGAGCATATATACAGCATATTCCATTAATAAAGGGAAATGGACAGCAAGAGCTACAAAAAACTTTATATAAACAATAGTTTATATAAATGTATAATAAAAATAACCATGATAATTTATTAAAATGCTTCAATTTTTTGTTTATCTTTATCATCTAGGATGTATAGTAGTATATTATTTACAAAAATACTCTTTTTATTAATTAAAAAAATAATGCTTATGCTGAAATTTGTCAACTTAAGTTGTCTGTTTTTATACATAATTGTTTTTACACAAATCTCTATCATGAGAATTGATCCTTATTGTATTAAATGGACAAATTAATGTTCTTAATCCTAATATTTACGTTTTTATGAAATTAATAAAAGCAATTGTAGGATTCTACTTTTAGAAATGTTAATTAGTAATAATTAGTTATTACTTTAAAATGGTATCAATGTCCTCTATATCTTCTGGCAAAACATTTTTCATTTATCTGATCGTGGCTAGTTAGAAGGAGGAAGCACACAATTCCTGAATGAAGATGGTGGAACATAGTGCTAGCATACATATAGCCACAGGCGCTTAAGAGGCCTTGACCCCCTTTTCCCAAAATGAATTTTTTAAAAAATTAATTACTCATTTTTTAATTGGATTAATTCTTTTTTGAATAATAATCAAGTTAAAAACTTCTCAAAATTTAATCAAAAGAACTTCCAACGAGAGAATGTAACTCAGTAAAACTAAAACTAAGGGAAACTAACTGTGCTTGTAATTTCAATTGAAAAAAAAAGAATATCTCTTAAATAAATCTGGGTCTATCTTTCAAACCAGGAGAGGTTGATATTTGTTTTAAGAAGTTAACTTTTAAAAAGCAGAAAGAATCTTAATTAAAGAATTTTATGTTTTCATAGTTTTAAAATCCATCATATATTTAAAAAAAAAATACCTACATACAAAAACATATTGTTAAAAATCTATCATATATATATATATATATATATATATATATATATATATATATATATATATAATGTCAAAAATTACAGAGCTAATAGTAGTAATAGTTATAATTATAGTAGTATTTATTATTTGCAATAAAAAAAATATATATATATAGTAATACTATAATTAAAACTACTACTAGTAATAGTTATAACTGTTGATGTTAAATTGTGAGTTCTATATAAATAATTTCCAAGTATAACTTCAGTTTACAATACTCAAGATTACAGGTTTGAATCTCGGGTGATGGCAGAAAAATTATTTATTTAGTTTCATCTGCCTTGGAGCGACCCTAGGATCAGGAGACCTTCCAGGAGCTCACCCTGCCTCTATAAAGTGGGTATCCTTAATTAAATAATTAGTTAAGGGGGAAAACCTGACAGTTGAGCGTGAACTTGGTCAAATCACCTCCTTCCACTACCAAGAAACAGTACTTTCCCTAAATAGTAATTAAATAGTATAAATATTTAAAATTTAAGTAAAAATAATATATACTATATATTATTTTTTTATATCAAATAAATATAAAACATACACATCCCTGATTCATTGGAAGTATTAAGCATCATTTTTAATTATTTCATTGGTATGTGATAATTAGAGAAGATTAACAAATTAAAACAAATCCCAAATAATAAAATTTAGTTACCTCCTATAGTTGATTCTTGAACAGCATCAAGACTAGTTCTAGTTGTTAGTGGAAACTGAAATGGTGTCGGCGTTGAACTGGAATAGTGTCCCTCAGTAGTACCTTCTAGCCCAGTATTGAACTCATATATTGACTGTAAACTGTAGTTATCAAAACTAAATTTTTGGCTCTGATTAAATTCGTCCCTAGTCTCATCATGTTCTTCAAGCTCCAGGGTACTCACTTCATTACTGTTTTTTATTTCTGTCTTTGGAGGGATCACTTTAACCAGTTTATTGTAGGTTTCATGAAACTGAGGATCTGATGTTGGTCCTAGAGTTGAACTAGAAGACACAGTTGTAACTTGTCTATTAGATGCAATACTTGAAACACTTGGGATTGTCTTGATAGAATTAGAAGAAGTTGATAAGTTAGTGTACGGATTAAATATTGGTCTGAAACCGCCTGTATTATACAGTATAGGTTTGAATCCTTCTTCTTGTTTAGGTGGTTTATCTAAAGGCTCAATACTACCTCTGGCTCCTGGAAACCGACTTTGTCCATCTCGGTTTCTACTAGACCCCCACAAGTTTTGTATGTTCAATGAAGGAAGCGGCATCCCAAAAAATGTAAATGTTGTCGATGGTGGTTTAGTTGGTTTTTTTTTTTTTAATTGATCATTTCCAGGCCGAGCATATAATGTAGGTGTGTCACCAGGTATGAAGTGAGACATTACAGCTGGAGGGATTGCTGTAGTTCCTGCAGTACTTATCACTAAATTAGTTGCAGATGTTGTCTGGATGGTATATTTTGTTAAGTTAAGCGGCACAGAAATGTTTTCATCATAATCGACATATTCATAAAAATATTCTGATTCCTCTGGCGTTGGTTTCTCATTATTTCCTTTCCAATTGTTTATTGTTGATAGTTGCTGTATTTGACCTGGAAAAGAGAATAAAAAAAAATTATTTAACATCTCTGTTTAATATGAAATTAACTTTTTAAACTTTTAAGGAAGTGTACAAATTATGTTAAAAAGCTTTAGTAACCAATTTTTTTTTTATTGAACATAATAGCACCCTGCAGATAGATGCAAGGTTGGAAAGTTCTTCATTCTTCTTCAACTTTAACTTTTTGACAGCAACAGGTTAATTGTAAGAATTTCATATTTTCAAAGAAACTTATTTGAATAAAGAAGAACCTCTACATTAAGAACTCCCAATCTGTTTCTACTTGAGGACACATTTATAGACTAGTAGTAAAAAGTTAGGCACCAATTTGTTTGTGATTTTACTATTTTTGTTTTCTTATTATAAGATTGTTATATATATATATATATATATATATATATATATATATATATATATATATATATAACAATCTTATAATAAGATATATATAATATAATAAGAAATTTTTTTGCAGTAACCATCCCTTTTCCAGCTCTCACGAGCAATGTATTTTGATTAATAAGGTATCAAACAAAGAAGTATTAAATAGAGCAGTGATGAATCATAGTAACATCTACCTGAAATTTCAGGGAAAATAGTTATGAATGAAAAGAAAATTTATTTGCGAATTACTTAAAAAGTATACATTTATTTTTTTCTCAATTAGACCCATTATTATTTGAAAATTTACTAAATTCCCTACAAAACGAAGAAAAAAACAGGAAAATTGGACCATTATTTACAAAGATACATTTGTAATTTATGTATAATTGCTCCTAGTATTATTTTCAAAGAAATGTTATAAAATATTAATTATCACTTTTACATGCACGATTTTTGAAAACTACTTTCATAATTTCTGATGTTAATGTATTGCCTTTGTAGTTATTGCCTTTTAATGCCCTAAAATGTACAGTTTTCCAGTTACCATCTGAGCACAATCTTATATCTGCGATAGGAAATCTTGATGCCAATGTTGTTATGGATTACGATTCATATAAAAATAACTATTTTCAGCTCTAATTGAGTGCACCTCCAGTTGAAAAGAATAAAAGAGATCAGCCTAGTATGGGTAAGAATCAGAAACTCAAGGCTAACATATGAATACCTATTGACAAAGGGGGCATCTCCTCAGTTTCTTTCCTGCGTGGTAAATATCACGGTGATGCACACCTAAACTGAGCGTTATGCCCATGAATAACATCGGAATGAAGTGGAGTTGGAAAATAATATTGCTGAAATTTTGAAAAATAACATGAAGATGGTAACAAAAAAAAATATAACTATGTAACAATTTCTTCATGACAGAAAAGTATGCAATTTATGGTGGATTAAATCCATGAATAATTAAAAGGTTATAAAATTTCCAGCAAAATAAAAAAAAAATATCGAATGGGATCATTATGAGCAAACATATAGACAACAGTAAACTGTACAAAACTTTTGGTTTATTGTTATGAATTATCTATTTTAATTCAACCAAGAAACTGCAAATTTATTCCTCCACATAGATTTCATTAACATATTTCAGTACTATTTTATTAATTGTTCACTGACCAAAATTTTATACGAGACTGAATTATTTATTAGATTTGTTAATAAAAATTACCAATTTTGTAATTTAGTTTTCCTTCGTATTTTTGGCACCATGGTCTTCTCTTTAAACGTAAGACTATACTGCCATACACTTACTATCTTATCCTTCAATCTTTCCTCTCCGACAGATTTTTTCAGTTCGGCAGGGCTCGGAAATATTTTCAGTTCGTCCAATCTTGGCAGGAGTTCCCCAAGGTTCAGTACTAGCTCCTCTATTTTACGTTACATACACTTACGATATACCTATTAAAGATGAGATCTTGACAGCTACTTATGCAGACGACACAACAATTCTCATAAAACATCAAGATCCTATATAGGCCTCACTAACACTACAACATCACTTACTTAAATTACAAGATTGGTTCACATTATGGAAAATTCGACTTAATCATGACAAATCCAAACATACAACATTTACTCTTCGAACACCTGCCCTCTAGTTTATATTGACAACAATCAAATTCCTCAAACGGACATGGTACTTTACCTTGGACTCACCTTCGACAGAAGGATGACATAGGGTCCGCATGTTAAAATGAAACGTAAGACACTTAACAAATGACTCAAACTTTACTCTCTTTTTTCTATATCTTCAAAACCAGAACTAAAACAGAAACTGAATACATATACATACTTACTTAAGCCCATATGGACGTACTGATCACAAATATACAGCATCGCTAAAAAGACCCACCTACAAAAACTTCAAACATTCCAACCAAAATTATTGCGACTCATAACAAAAGCACCCTGGTATGTGACTAACAAAACTCTACATACTGACCTCCACTTTCCAACAGTTGACCAACATATAAAGACCCTTTATAAACGATTTTACACAGATGTAAATGGACATAATAACAGACTAATAAGAGACATGGCCACAGCTGACATACCCCAGAACATGAGGAGGAGACTAAAAAGGCGTTGGATAAGAGATCTCCTTCCTTAAACAACTTAAGTAATTGGAACAAGTTAGGGAAGAGGTACTGCTGAGTACTTTCCTTCTCAATGCCTGTTATGTCATTGTTTGATGTATCGCCATCACATTTGCTGATTGTCAACAATAAGTTGACAGGCGCAAATACATCTTTTATAGACAAAAAAAAAAAAGTTTTCGTTCTTGATAAAAAAAACACAACTATTGTCAAAGAAATACAATAATGTTTCCAATATATTAGATATTTTATAAATAAAAACTTATTGAACAGTAACACTGTCTAATGCAGTTACTGGCTGTCATAGGGTTAGTTGTAGTGTACAGGATGCACGATTTTTCCTATCAGTACTTGGTTGGAGATACCTACCCTACTTGAAAGAAATTAAATTAAAAATATTTCCGTCTATTTTGGGGAATATTTTTTTGAGCTGTCCAATCCCTTGAAAATCACATAAGATTTTTTCATGGTAAAATGTGATTTATTAAGTGTTCCATCAAATAAAATAATTTTATAACTAACAATTGTTCCGAGTATAGAACACTATTAAATTCTATTTTTGTCTAAATTAATACCAAGATGTCTCTTAGTAGAATCAAACTATTCTCTAATCAATATATAAAAAAACATTGTTACCAATAGAATTGTTTTCACAACTTTTTTGTAAATCACTATATTTAGAATGAGAGCATTCTTCATTTATCATCTTGTGCCCTTGGAATAACGGAGTACCATCATAACAAATTGGTGGATGGTATGCTTCTTGGTTAAATGTCTTCTGCCACAGAAATGTACAGGAACATCGTAAAGGATTTCCTAGATAAATATAATATTTCAATAAATAGCTAAATTATAATATAAGTATTTAAAAATGTGTCGAGGTTGAACATCTAATTTGGACTGAATTAAATTCAGCAACTCTATATATAAAAACTACATGTGAACAGCTTATCACTTATTGAAGAGAAGGATTTTTAGGGTGATCAGTCAGAAAAAAAAAGGCAAAAATAAATAATAATATTTATTTTAACATTTGCCAACGTTTCAACCTGAAGTTCAGACCTTCATCATGGCTTAGAAAAAAACCAGACACATCAAGGTATGAGAAACATAAATAATGTAGGTAAAAAAATATTAAAGTAAAATGAAGTGGGTAGAATAATGACAATAACAAGAACTAAGAAATGAATAATAATAACTGTTACAAAGTATGGAATAATGAAGTAAACATAATCAAAATAAGGTGACATCAGTACTAAATTGGTAATCTTAAAATAAAATGTAAAACAGAAAAGGTTTTCTATCTGAAGGCCTAAACTTCAGGTCGAAAAGTCGGTAAATGTTAAACCAAATATTATTATTTATTTTTGCCTTTTTATTTCCGACTGATCACCTTCTCTTCATTATTAACGACAGTCAATCATCAACCCACAATTATCACTTATTGTATGGATTTTACATTAAAAACGTTATGCAAAATCATTTTCTGATCAAACATCAGTACTTGATTAGGAGGGTTCAGACCCAGGACCCTTCATGTAAAAATCTTGTATATTTGTACATCAGCTAAAATTATAATAACTCTTTCAACTCATAAAAAAAAAAAAAAAAAAATGATTACCTTACCTTCAATATCAATTTGGTATATTGTACTTCTTAATGGCTGTAGAGCAGTCTCTGAAATAGAAACCAACCGATTTTTTCTTAGGCTAAGAACTCTGAGATGAGTCATCTTTTCAAAAGGAGATCCTTGAATAGCGCATATATTGTTACCATCCATCTGAAAAGACCAGTATCACCATAAAAAATGGTCTACAATTTTTATTCTATATTTAGAAGTAATAATTGAGGCCTTATCTAAGACTGAACATTTATCCAATAAATCTCTTAAACTGGAGTAAAATACAAAACATATCCACATAAAAAATATACTTTTTCATATTAAAAACATTGGGCCATGTTCCTCTTATTGTTCATTTGATTTTTTTCTTTTTTTAAACAATAATAATTGAAAGAATTTTATTTAAAAAATTACATGATTACATATATTAAAGCTAGAACTTGAAATTTATATTACCTTCAATTGAATAAGCGAATTTAAATTAGGTATTCCAGGATTACTGAGCTTTGACAGTCTATTGTGGCTAATATCAAGTATTTCCATTGATTTCACCCCATGAAGACCAATCTTGTCCAAGCTAGCCAAATGGTTGTGACTCAGGTTCATCACCAGAAGGTTTGGCACACCAGTAAAAGCATCACTAGCCAAATGTGAGATCTGGTTTTGTTGAAGTTCTATATCTGTCAAAACAGGGAGGTCTGAGAAGGCTGCGCTTGGTATAGTAGCAAGTTTGTTTCTGGAAAGCTTTAGGGTGACCAGAGAAGGCATTGATCTGATCACATGAGGTGAAATAAACTGGATTTGATTGTTGTCCAAATCTAGAACTGTTAGGTTTCCCATGTTAATGAAGGCCCCTTCCAGTAAAGTCTCAATTTTATTTCCAGACAGGTTCAGATAGGAGAGAGATTTAAGATTATACAAAGGTCCTAGAATCTGCTTGATTCTGTTGTAGCTTAAATCTAGAAATTTTAGTTCTCCAAGTTTTGTAAGTGGGTTAGGAAAGGATGATAAAGCATTATTTGATAATGATACTTCTTCTAGTAACCTGAAAGCAAAAATAAATATACTTTTTTATGCATTTTGGTACCTAATAATTGATTAAAATGTTTTCAATTTCTCGATAGATCAAAGCATAGGTTCTATCAGTAACTAATAAATGATATTGATAGACATCCATTAAAAAAAAAAAAAAGAAACAAGTAGAAATAATAATAAATTTTTAATATTTTAATGATTTTTTTTGTATATGTTGTTCTCAAGCTATTGGAGGTATTCTTTAACACCTTTACTACACGTGTAAGTAAATATTAAAAATAATTCAACTGTATTTGAGTATAAGGTCCTGAAAACATTTTCAATGGTTCATATATAAACTCTTTAGGCCTACCTTCATATGGCTATATTGATTGTCAGAGATTCATGAGGAGGGTAGGAAAAAATATAACTAAAATATTTAAAAATGATGTTGTTATCCTTGAAAGACTCTGACCTTTTCTAGAATTCTTCTTTCTGTGTTTTTCCTCTCTTTTTCTTAATATACCTGCAGCAAGGCTTCTAAGATCAACTGCCATGTCTTTCTTTATTCAAAAAGACATTTCTCTTTTTCTGCCTTCTCAGAGAGTACTTTCTCAACTTTTATATTATATAACCACATTGCTTTAGGATTTTGGTTTCTATTAGCCTTTATAAGCTGCTCAAAAACAGTCTCTCTTTCTGAACAGCCCTTATGAATAAGTGCCAAGCAGAACTTTCGACATAGTACTGTAGAAACCCAATAAATAGAACCATTTCCGCACATTTGTGTCTTTTATCTTAAGTAATATCTACAATAAACTACATTCACCTAATTATAAAATTATTTTTTAGTCTTGGAGTATTATTTTTTGTTTTAAATTTAATTCAAAATTACGTATTCGTAAAATTCTTTAGATAAGTTATAGAGCAGCACCCTCCAATCATAAGACAGATAAGGTGTTGGCACCCTCCTAGTCCAATTACAATTAGTCTTATTTGGGAGAGGAGGAGGATTACATTGAACATAAATGTTTGGACTTCTCGAATTTGATTAATTTATTAGTATTCAAATTTATGTAATTCAACAAACTGTAAATGAATATGTAATGAACAACCACATACGAGTTAAATGCATTATTAAATGCAAATAGTAAACCAGTCAAACTGATAATTTTTCAATTTCACAAAGCAATCAATCAAAATATGTTTTTTTCAATATAAGAAGTAAGTTTTACCACTGGCGGATCCTCCCGGAGGGAGAAAAGTAGAGCTTTTAAATCTGACATTAATCCCTCCCTCTGCTCTGATCCCGGAAAAAATTCCGTATAGCCGAAAAGGTGAGAAAAATAAATCACAATACTTATTATTTATAAATCATATTTCATAACAACTAAATGCAAGCACGTGCCAAGGAAAAATAAAATCCCTAAAAGCACAAGTTCCTGCAATTACATTCATTTTTAAAATGCCTTCAAGAATCACTTAAACAACATTAAAAACAAAAAGAAATGAAACCCCGAAAATTAAATCTTGGATCCGTTACTGATTTGCACACATGGCTCATTTACTGCAACTTCATAACTCTAAACTCGCGATTTTTTTAACCTTTGAAGTTTTTAAATATTGTATTAGTTTCTGTGAAACAATAATAATAAAAAAAAATTTAATTTAAAAACCTAACTATAGAGATTGGAAAATTCTATCGAACCTAAGAGAATGTACTTCCAAATCTACTTAAAACATCATGGTAGATTGATGGGGAAATGGACAACTACGAATATTTAAACTTGGTGGAGTAGTAGGGTGTCTCCCACACCGGAACAAAACATTCTCAACAGAAGTCAGTTTCCCTATCAATCTACCAAGTTGTTTAAGTATATATGGAAGTCCATTCTCTTAGGGTGAATAAAATTTCCCAATTTCTGTAGTAATTTTTTTTAAATTCAAATATTTTTTATTTTTACATTTTTAGTATTCAAATATTAAAAATTCATTTTCATAACACAGGATCACATGATATCATTTCAAATCAAATTATGATCGTGATACTAAAACTACCAAATTTTTTTCCAGTATTTTGAGCTCAAATTATTTCCAAAAATTCACGGGGTTTAACTGAGTAAATACAGTCAAAGTTAAAAATAGATTATGCCATGCGCTCAAAAAATCGTTATGCACCTTTTAGCTGATTGATTAAACACACTTTAATCAAACATAGTAATTTGCCAGAACTTTGAATTAAAAACACTCACGGAATCTCACCGAATAATTTGAGGCATCAAACTTCAAAATCGATCCAGCCCTTCACTCAAAAAAGCGTTATACATCTTTTAGCGGATATCCCGAACACACGACCCTCATGTTCTGTCTCTTTCTAAACACTCAGGGGGCCTTACCGAATGACATAACATATTTAACTTAAAAATCTATTCAGCTGATCCGTCAAAGGTTATAACAACGATACAAAGGTTTTTGCAAGTTTATTTAACACATTTTATTGAAGAACGGTTTAGTATTTTTAGCTAAAATTGTTTCCCAACACTCAGGAGATCTCACCAAATAATTTAGGGCATCAAACTTAAAAATCGATCTAGCCGTTCGCTCAAAAAGCGTTACATAGCTTTTAGCGGACGACCCAAACACATAACCCTCGTTTCGCTTCGCTTAGTCGCCTAATGAAGCGTCAAATTCATTTAAATAAATTATCATTGTTCTGATGATTAACTGAATCCATTGTTTTAGGAATCCTACTGCAGCTTAATATACACACTTTGTTTGACACTGACCAGTTATTGGTCAGGTGACCTAGTCCTCACCTAATGTCAATACACCACTTCTGCGTTGAGGCACGTTAAAGGTAATTTTTTGAATTCTTTTGTAAAAAGTCATTTAATGAAATCATTATATTCAACCTTTTTGGACCTAATTTTACTTTAATCTATTAGGCTTGAGCAAGCAGGTTAGCCAAACAATTTAAACCCTATGCATGCCACTTTAATGGAGAATGCTGATGGGGCAGCAACAACTTTGTTTTGGTGTTATGGATGAACAAGAATATAGAATAGAAGAAGAATCCAATTTATTCTGGAACAAAGTCTATTAAAAATAACTATATTGATCATAAAAATTATCATTAAATCTAACCTAAATACCTATTGCAATAAAATAATAAGTGATCAGAGAAGTATTTACATAGCTATAAAAATATATTAAAGAAAAAAATTAGGAATAAGGTCATAATACTGCAAAATAGCTGCTAAAAACAATAAAGTAAAAAATAGCGAAATGAAATTGGAAAAGAACGATAAATTACTTTTGTAGGCATACCATTTCAGTAATTTAAAAAAAAAGATAAATATTTACAATAAATGATTTACATCTTTTCCTTAATATGCTCATATGAGTACTTTTAATGGTATTGTAAAAATTAGAAAAGTCTTATAATCTACATATTAAGACGTAATATAATCAAAAAAAGATAATATAATTACCTATAGAGGAGTGCGTTCAATATTAGTAAAAAAAATTAAATACATTTCAAAGACTTAAGTTGTTATAAATAAAAAAAACAATTCTCAGTGAAAAGTGACTACAAATCTTTTCTATATTCATAAAAGAAAAAAAAAAATATACAGTTTTCAAATTTTATCTATATTCGTATTAAAGTAAGTATTACACTTAAAACTAGTTAGTTATAACGAAAAATGGATTCCAAATAAAATCAAATTATTTGCAAAGAAATAATAATAAAAGTAATAATTAATCTTTAATATTTTAAACTGTTTCCTCAATATTTTCAAGCAACTGGAGTTACTACAAAGATTAACCTTAAGCCTAGTCTACACTAGTAGACATGTTGAGCGATTTAGGTCTCTGATCATGTCTCAGTTTGTCTACGTAGACATGTCTATATACAAATCCACGTCTATAGGCCTGTTGCGAGACCAAAAATCGAAGATCTAAAGTCTCCCGATCGAAATGGGAGACATTCTGTAACTTTAAACATGTTGCGTAACATATTGGCAGTGTGGGCGTCACTCGGCGTCTAGAGGCGAGAAACGTTCCAATTTGGCTCCAGCTAACAAGTAGTTAGTTCCGCTATTTACAATTACTTTCCAAAATTTTACAGATGTAATGAAAACCTGTGGTCCAATGAGAAAGTTTTAACACTAATTGAAGATTACCGTGGCGTCCCAGTCTTAATTTATTTAATAATGCATTACCGAATGTAGGCACTTCTGCGATTCCACCAACGTTTACATTTTCGCGGACTTTTAATTGTAGTCAGCACTAAGCTCTAACTCATTCAACACAAAAGTACGTCCTCCAAGGTGGGCTGCGAAGATGAGATTGAGAAATTCACATCGCAGTTTGGACGCTTGACGGTGTCTATAGACGGACTATTGACCGTGTCTCGAAACCGCCTCTAGACGAATCACGCAACAATGTCTACTAGTATGTATTAGGCTTTACAACACACAATCTAATAAATATAATATGAATTGGAACTTACTTGCAGCTTTCAAATATTTGATCAGGGAGAGAAGCTATTTCATTTCTATTCAAATTAATAGATTTTAACTGTCCATTTTCACGAAACAGAGATTGTTTTATAGTAGCCAGTCTGTTCCCACTCATGTCTAGCTCCTGGAGTCTTCTCAAATCTCTAAATGCATTTAAATGTACCTCGTTGATTCTATTATCCTGGATATCCAGTTCCTCTAGTCTTCCTAAACCATCCAAAGAGCGTTCATCAATTTGTAATAATCCGTTTTCAGCTAGCAGTAGTTTACGTAGTAACGGCATAGATATGAGTGCTTCCGATGGTAGATGTCCTAACTTGTTTCCTAATGAATACATAAATTATTAAAGCTTATTTAAAACTTTATGGACGATTTTGTCTTTATAAATAATTGTAAATGCTAAAATTAAAATAGTTATCTTGGTCAATGTAATCAGAGCCAGAGTGGCCCACTGATGGAGATGCAACGCTACATTCTCGAATATGCAAATACCTATCCTAGAAATACTAATACATGTAGTGGATTATTTATTTAAACGATGCATACTGTAAAAGACTCTAGTGGTTCAAGTACTTAAATTACTATACGATCAATAAAAACATTCTTACCACTTAGATTTAAAAGCCTTAGTGCTGGTAGTAGTAGATCCGGAGATGGGGACCTAGGGAGAGCTGTGATCCTATTGTTTGATAGGTGGAGTAATTCCAACGCTCGTGGGAGTCCTGGCACTATCCCTGTCAATTTATTCCAGCTCATATCAAACTCAAATAGGTTATTCAAGTGATTAAATGTCTGAGGTTGAATCAGATCAATCGCGTTTCTCGATAGATTGACATGCTCAAGAGCAGTGGTTCCCAGGAATGATGCTGGGTCAATGATGAATAAGTTATTATTGCTTACATCCAGGCGGCGCAATGAAGGCAGGTTGGCTAATACCCGCCGATCAATCCTTCGAAATTCGTTATGGGATAAATCCAGCCCCTACAAATGTTATAAGAATAAAATTTATTTTCAGAATATATAACTATAATACTTATGTTTGAATATTTTTTGTTTAATTAATGAGTAATAGAAGTATTTAAAAGTAACGAAAATATAAATACAATCTAGATAGAAGTTTTGTTTGAAGACACTAATGGAATTCTGTACGTCAGAAGTAAAAGGTTGTGTGTCATTGGATCCGTAAATACGAGTTTTGTATTGATATTTATGTAATATTACACGCTCTTTTCAGTGAAACAAGGCATAAATTTTGAATCTGCATTGCTTTCTAGATACTTGGAAAATGACCTGATGTACGTTTATGGTTAATGGACGCATATCCAATAAAAATATTTTACCGCTGTTAGTTTTGATGTTTCGCTGCGTTATTTGTATAGGTAAAAGCTGAAATATAAACTAAAGACATTTTACTGCAATTATATGTATGTTTTTATTCAGTATTGTATATTATATGCCATTATTTGTATGTTAGTAACGATTAAAAATATGGTACACCAGGCACTAAGCCAATTCCAAAGGGAACATAGAGGCACTATTTAGATTCCTTTCCTTTTTTGGAAAATGCTGAACATCAAATTTATAATAAATAATGTTCTATAATGTGCTTGTTTGCTTTGAGATTTTATCGTAAAAACACATCCAATGATATTTTTTGATTTTTAAATTAGTAGTAACAGGTTTCAGGCATGGAGGTGCCCACCCTCCTCCCCCTTGCAAGAAATTTTATTGTTTCGCTCTTTTTAAAAAATGTGCAAGCGAAAGTAGAATAAATAAACTTGTAGATCACATAAAATGACTTGCTGTGTGTTCCATGTTTTTTCCCATGAACCCTGATTTGAAAGTTCCTTCAAAAATTCAAAAACCAGTCAAAATGTATCCCCCTTAATCCTCTAAACACCCTAGAAATAAACCTCCCTCAAAAATTTTAATGGTACCATATGGCTACCTCTGTTTAGATATTTTGGATAAATACATTTTTAATTATCTTAATTTATTTATTTTCGGTTGAACTTTAAATTCAGTAAAAAATAAATATAACATGCTAACGACAGATACAAAAATAACCTTATCAATCATCGTTTAAACCAGGAGTGCCCCAAGGCCAAAAGCGCATGAACCACCTCACCCCTCTCCGAATTGTATTTCTCTCCTCTTTTTAAAAATAGTGCAAGCGAAAGTAAGATAAGAGAAATCGTAGATCATACACAATTACACTTGCTGTGGCCTGTCCCATGTTTCCCTCCTAGCTCTCTGTTTTGAAACTTATCACTCCGAAAATTCATTGTCCAGTCGAAATTTGCCCCTCTCAAAAATACAAAACCCAGTCATAATTTGTCTCCCTCAAAAATTTTTTTGGCGCAGCTTGAGCCGTGAAACTCCCTTCTGGGCACCTCTGGTTAATACTGATAGAAACATTACGGCAGCCTAAGAAAAATGCAAATTTGTATAATATTTTGGATTAATACACAAATTTTTAAATAAAGAATTATATATATTAATTATTGTATTATATATTATATTATGTATTGTAATATATATTAAATAAATAATTAATTAATATTTTATTATAAATAAAAAAATGGAGAATAAATTCAAATAAACTGTATGAACATGATTAAAAGTTTTTTAAAAAAGATCACACTAATACCGTGTGCTGATAACAGTCACAAAACTCACTCACAAGGGAATGCAACAATCTGTGGGTCACCGATTTCAACCAAATTTTTCTTCGTGATAATACATCGAAAAATATTGGACATATATTCCGACATTCGTTCCAATGGGCCACAGGAGCCAAGAAAAAAAAATGTATGTAATTATAAACAAAATATATGTTGGCTTTTCTTTGTCCGGATTTTGAGCTAACAATATACCAATCAATTTCTTTTTTTGTGCAGCATAAGAAACAAATATTGGTTATTGTATTAAATGAGTTCTAATGTATCATAAATTACAAAAACCAAACGGGGATTTCAATACAGAAGGCCAAGTAAATTTTTGTTATAAAAAAGGAAGTTAGATTCGTTTTCGGGTCCTTTAAAACTGTTAAATACGAATTCTTATATAAATAAAAAAATACAACCTATATTGCTTGATTTTCTTGGTTGATTTTTTTTTTTCTGGTTGTCAACTAAAGCATTCATAACTCCTCACTATTTTCCTCAAATTCAACTTCAATATAACCGTTGGAAAGCTGAATTACTGTTTTTCCAACCGACATCAATATTTTTTTTTTTAAGCTACAAATTAAGAAAAACTTCTAACTCATTTTTATTTTATACCTTTAGTTCTAATTTGTTTACGAAAGTTGAGTTTATGCCATTTCGTGTATCATACAGAGGTCTAACACCGTTAAAAATTACTATGCACAATTAATATTTTAATCGATTTTTCCACAAAATAAAAGCATTGAAAAGGTGAAATTTTGTATCTCTTCAACTAGTAGAAAGGTATTAAATGAGAGCCAGAGATTCGACTTCATGGCAAGGACGAAACAATATTTGAAGAAAGCCTCTAGCGAAAAATTTTTCATGTGTCGGTGTTCAACAGTTAACATTTCAATCAGACTATCCTATCAAACTAACTTATTTTAATATTTAGACCTATGAGTTTTTGGAAACACTTTAATAAATTAATACAAAGCTACCTTACCTTCAGATTTGGTAGATTCCAGAGAGGCATTTCGAGATAGTTTGAGAGGGAATTATTGCTTAACCTCAATTCTCTTAAAGAAGGCATGCCAGAAAAAGCTTCTCGAACAACTCGCCTTAGAAGATTATTGTTCAAATGCAGACGTTCCAATGTAGGGTGTCCTCGCAGTGCTCCGAACATTATATCCTGCATGTGATTGTTACTCATATCAAGGAATTTTATTCGAGGTAGAGTTTCCAAAATTGTTGTTAGGTACATCACGTGATCAAGTTCGTTGTTAACAAGAGATATTTCCTCTAGTTGGCTGTCATAAGATTGTAGGAAAAATTCCGGATGTATCCTTTGGATTTTATTATTGCTGAGATCTAATTTGACGAGAGATGGAAGTCGGTGAAAAGAACCTCTATGTATTTCTGTAATTCTATTATCGTTCATATACAATTCCGTTAATGGCGGTATGTCTACAAATGTTGTCTCTTTAATTGATTCTATTGCATTTCCGGAGAGTTTTAGTACAGCCAAGTGCGGTAGTTCCCTTATAGCCCTACCTATTTCGCCAGCATCACTCAACTGATTGTCAGATAAATCAATTTCCTTCAGAGAAGGAAGTCTTACAAACGATCTAGGGTGTACCCAGCTGATGCCAGACCCTGAAAAATTTGCTAATGCTAGTCTTGGAGCATCTTGTAGAGAAGAAGGGCCTAGATTAGTCAGGCGTGGTGATCTAATCAAATGAAGCTGTTCCAAAGCCTCTAGCTTGTTCAATCTACCAGGACTGATTTCCGTAAGAGATGGAAGTTCAGTGAGTAGATATCGGAGTCTTTTTAAGCCCGAAAAAGATGGAAGACGCTGAACAAATCCAGCTTTAATCGTTACCGCTTCCAATTTATCGAGACCTTCGAAAACGTCTTCTGGTAAACTTCGAAGTTCATGTTCTACTATAAATACCTCCAGTAAACTAGGTTCGAGACCTCCTAACCAATTTGATGAAAGCCTTTCTAGTTTGTTGTTTCGTAGCATAAGCCTTGTCACTCTTAAAGGTGCAAAAGCACGACCTGGCAAGGCGGTTATTACATTATTTTCAAGAATAAGTTCGTCGATGGGACGGGTGATTTGCGCTGATATTGCGGCCAGGCCACTCAGCACTGCTGAAAGTTCGCTTTGACTGCACCTAAAAATGAATCATTGATACATTTTTTTTATTGATAACATATTAAATTTTATATTTAACTTGTGAACAATTTTTGAGTGAATCGTTTGAAACATACAAAACATAGATTCAAAAGTATTTTTTCATTAGGCTTGATATATTAATAAATCAAACATAACTAATATAAAGTCTTATTACAAATAATAAATATAAAGCAAATATGTAGTTGTTTCCATTAAGGATTATGAACGAAACATACCATATCTGCAGTTCGTCAGCTTTGTTGGTACATTGGCATGGCCTGATGGTTTCAAGGGGCGGGCAGGTGGCCCAGCAATCCTTAATAGTCAAGATGAGTAAATACAGCGAAGCAACTCGGCACCACCATCGCAGGCTCCACATGACAACATAGCAGCTTCAACTCTCTTTGGCCTTTCTGATTTCAATAACATCGTAAAAATTAAAAGTGAATAGATATGAAAACTTTTTAATTATAAAAAGAAAATTCAGAAGTGATCATTAGTTAATAGTTGAAGATTTTATCTGCGATGACCAAGAAATTATTTATGAATACGTTTAAGTTATAGCCAATATATATTTTTACTTTTGCTTACCTATATGTGAAATATATATATACAGTATTGTAGAGATACACAGTATTGCGACTGTGAAAAATTTCTAATCTACGTTTTGAGGTCCCTTGAATCAAACTAACCAAGATTCGCAAAATAGTTGGTAACCCAGTAACCTTGTAACCTTGTAAATTGCATTGAATAGGGGTAGAAGATTTCTTTTTATTTTCTTGTATGGGATATGACTGGGATGTAAAATCCATGTTTTCTACCTCGGGGCCACTCCTCTTCCCCTCCCCATTCCCCCATCCCGGGTCACTTATGAATATCACAAAAACTGCTATAGTATCGCACTTTTTTCGGTTTGCCCCATTTAATCCACGAAGCAGTAAGTTTTTCACAAAAGCAACACAATACATTTTTAATACAAGATTAAATATACTACAATGTAAGACCAGAACTGGCCAGAGTCTTTTTTACAGATAAATAAAATAGTTTACGAGATACAGGTTTTCAAAGTTTGTAAAAATTTATTTTCTATTTAAATTATTTTTCATGTTTGGTAATATGCAATTGTCTTTTATCTTCAATAATCTGTCTGTTTTGAGTCAGTGATGTAAATATTTCTTCTTCGTTCTCCCCTCTATACGGCTATGTCAGAGAGTAAAAAACCAAAGTTATTGGTCCTCCTTAGGTCCTCAAGACTTCCGAACAGCTTGGGACTCCCAGGGTCCGTAGGTTGGGCCCACATCTGCTTCCGTATACCCTGCAAATGCTGGTAGTTCTGCAGAACATCATCTAATATTTATTGATGCTAATATTTTGAAAGAGGAATGATGGTGGTGGGGGAAGATTTGGTGGGAGAGGGTGGGTAGTCCGTGGGCCAGACTTATCTACCGTGCACTCCCCATAACATTACCTTAAATGGCATATAGCTGTGCTACTTGTAAATAGATATTAACAAAAAAAACAATGTGTCCACAAAAAAAAGTGGCCGCATTGTTCCAAAATGGTGTCGAAACATGGTGGATTGACGACTTTGACTTGAGTTAGTTTTTCTGTCATTGAAATTCAGCAGTTGGCTTAATTTCTTCATAATTGGTCTTTTATTAAAGTTGGATAGTCAGAGAATAATAAAACATAAAAAAAAAAAAAAAATCAATATAACAGGCCTTGGAAATAAAAAATACCAGTAAAGTCAATTTTTTCAAGTCGTTAAAACTAAAGTTGAAAATCAAGCTTCATTTGTAATTGAACGGTCAACAATAACGAAAACACCTTCAATTAAAAAAATCTAGAGAATACATTTATCTTTCTAAATCACTGGATAATTATTAACATATTTGAAACAGCTCTTTAGTAAATGCATCTAATCAGCGTAAAAGCAGCACTGGCGTAGACGCTTGCAGTCCTTTGCCACCTCTTTCGGTTTTCATAAATGTCTTATTTACAGTGCTACTCTATTCATCTGTCTATTACATATTTCTTCCATCAAATAATGTTCGTATCGGTTTTTTGTTATATCTTCAAAGATTTTGCATCTTGCTTATTTACTCCTTCAGAATAATAAATAAAATAAATGTTTACTTCACTAAGTCTTATAAGGCAGGTTAGTGAAGATGTAAAGATGAAAATACGCTTAACATTTTCAAGTTTCGAAAATTTCATTAACTTCATTTACAATTTTTGTTTGCACTTGATATAAATGTTTGTTAAATATTTTTTTAAATTTCAATTTCAGTCCTCTGGTTGTGAAAAGTGATCTCTTTCCCTCCCACCAAAGCTCCCCACTCCCCCACCTCTCCTTCAAAATGTTAAAATAAATAAACATTTACTTTACTGAATCATATAAGACAGGTCATTGAAGATATAAAGACAAATGCATATGATCAAACATGAAAAATTTTCTTCAAGTTGGAACAATGTCCAAAATTAGAAAACCTGTATCTCAAGTTTCGTACCGAACCTGCTTTCATCTTAAATTGTAGCATATTTAATCTAATTTAAAAATGTACTGAATGTTTTTTGTCGAAATGGAGGAAAAACGAAAAAAAAATTGAGCAAATATAGAAGTTTTGGGGAATTTCGAAAGTGATCAACCCTTTCCCACCTTCCAAGTCTGCGCCTATGTCTAGGACCTCCTGAGATTTTAACATATTCATAATTATAATTTTATGTTTAGTAAAATTAAACGTTTATGTATTCATCATTTCGAGTCAGCAAACACCAACCTATTAACATTACTCCACCATTTTTGAAAATAATGATTCAATTCAATAAATCTCTTACTGTCCAGAACTTTTTTAAAATGTTTGCATACCTTTTTTGTTTTGTTTTTTGATACTATCAAACTATACATCCTAGCGTGAAAGTAGTTGAGTGAAATTGGATTTGACTGGAAATTAATATTTATTTAATTAATAAAAGTATTCATTCATAAGTTTATGTGAAAATATTTCCATTCACTTCTGTAAATTTAAGCTTATTCATTTTAATAAACGTGAATACAGGCGTATTCACTTTTACAAATGTAAATACAGCCGTATCCACTATTGCATTAGTGAATATGGCCGTATTTATTTTTAAAACTGTGAATACGAACCATCTGTATTCATATTTCTTTTTTAAATATTGATATATTCTTCATATATATATTTTTTATACATATTTAAATTCTCAAGTATCGTAAATATAAATGCAATTAGTATTTATATCTTTGAATATAAATATGCCCATTTCTGCTTAAGAACATCTTTGTAATCCCAGTAGCGAAGATAGCGCTACCTTTAGGATATTTTCAGCAACATGTGAAACCTGCTCTGAAAGCGGCTCTATACTAATAACGATAGCTTAAAGTTGTTGGTAAATGTTAATTCGTTTTGTCAGTAGATTGTGACTGATGTTTTGATGTTAATTATAAGAAGTGACTAGATTTTTTAGATAAGATAAAGATGGCAATGTTTGGCTTATTGGCTTCCGGGAGGTTGGTAAGTAAATTGTTATTGATGTAATATTTTATTATTAGGTAATTGCGATTAATATCTTTTGACATGTTAAGAAAGTATGAAACATTATGTTTGTTTCATTAAAAGTATGATCATCCTCTAGGTTCAAACCAATTTCGAGATGGTTGGTGAGAAACAGTTCCTCATAACTATTCCTGATGCACATGATCTTAATCATGTTGTTGTGTTTCTTACTGGTGCAGTTGCGTTTCCTGATGGATATGCCGGTTTAGGTAAGTTATTATTTATCTATTATTTTATTGAGATATTGCTCCATCAGGTAATAAAAATATAATAAGTAGTAATGCAAGTATTACAGTGTATAATGAACAATATTAGTAGGTGTTAATTCACAAAATTTGCTCCACTTTGGTGGATGTTTATTAAAATAAAAGTACTATTAAATGAAAATCATATCAAAATAAAAATATGAACCTACTGTCGATGGAGTTCTAAAAATAGCCTCCCTAAAATACTATAAATGAATCTCTACTAGTTATTAGTAAATATAGGCGACTATATCCTTTTAATTGTCTTAACGGTTAAGGATACATATTAGGAACACTTATTTATTACTAATCCGGCAAGTGCACCTTATTTTGCCAACTCCTGACGGCTTCTAAAAGGATGCTGCTGCGTACTTACTAGTGTGATAGTATGGCTATACTGGTGAACACTTGTCAATACTCAGGTATCCATAGTGTGGTTCATGAGAATTTGTGCTGCCCTTCTATGTGGAGTAACACTTATGAAATAATACCAATTACTAAAATATTACTATGGTGGGGCACCACTTGGTGTTAATAAGAGTCCTAATTTAGCTGGCTATGTTTTTTTGTGTTCCAAGTAAAGTTCCAATATCAGTGGAAATAAGTTGCTGCTTCAATTTTTGAATATTTCAATTCATTAGCAGTTTATGTATATAAACATGCTATTGGATATTGTTGGAAAACAATTCAGGTTATAATAATTGATTAAAATATTTAATACAAAACCTGACTGATGTGCCAATCACTTTGTTAAGTATTTCGATTCACCATTATAATTAAAAGCTTAGATTATAAGAAATCATATGATTATATTTTAAATAAGACACACCATTTCAATTATAAATAATATTTTCGGCCATCAAGGTATTCAATTACCATAGCACTTTTTCCAGTTTCAATAACGAATGAAGTTTCAATAATAAAAGTCTACAAAAATTATTTTTCTGTTCTCATTTCTAACTTCAATATTATGTAATTAAAGTGTTAAAGCCTATTTCTCATACTGTTAAATATTTGTTTTTATTGTATAATGATGAGATTTAGGTGAGTGTTTTATAAATATTGTTTAATGTTCTGACAAAAGACTATTGTATAAATTTATATCCATTAATTTATTTATTTTTATGTTGGTTTTTCCAAATTTTATTTAAATTTGTCACTGAATAAAAACAAATATAATAATTTTTTCTGTATAAACTTTATTATTTGTAATGCCATATTTCATTTCATTCATTTTCTGTTTTTTAGTTTACTTTTCTTGGCCAGATCCTGCTGCTCCTCCTAATTGGCAGCTTTTAGGCATAATTTCTAATGAAAAACCATCATCGATATATAAAATTTCATCCCTTAAGAAAAATCAAGAACAGCGAACACTTGAACAATCTGGTTTTCTTCAATTTGGACAGACAAAAATATCCCATGTGGCTCAGATTGGGATCTCAATAGAGACTATTGATGTTGTACAACATCAACATCAACTATTAGAAGCTGAAAATGCAAAGAACCAAACTCAGTTTGTGGAATTTGCACAAAAAATGATACAGAGTTTTCTTAACTATAGCCTAAGTTTTACCATTTCCCCGACTCCAAATGAATCTTACATTCCTGTAAAAGCTGTTGAAGATTGGTATAAGAACTTTGAAAGAAAATTATCACTTAATCCATACTTTTGGAAACAATTATGATATTCTCTTCAAGGCTTCTTCAATGCCATTTGCATTGGTATTTTTTTATATTTTGTTTTTCAATAGACTGAGTGAATTTTGAAAGAGTACACTGCTTGTTAAAATTTTATGGAGGCATGTAAATAATAAGTTACTAAATGTATTAAAACTGTTTAGTTTCTTAACTGTATATAGTATTTTATTCAGGTAAGAAAACGTGTCAGGATGTTAATTATCAAGCTGTGTTTTGTAATTTGTTAGACTTTTTCAAAGTACTATGTGCATATAGCATTGATTATATTTATTATTTAATAACTACTGTATTTTTATCATTCTTGCCAAATGCATTTATAACAATGTAGATTACTTATTTTCCAGATTATTTTGTTTATGTTATGTCTAATAAAATAAAAAAAATTCTGTTACGTTATTCTTCATTCTGGATGGTAATATTTGTTTTAAAGGTACATTTTATTTGATGTGAACATCAAAATTATCATTCAACAATAATTGTAAAGTACTATTTCTTTAAATTTTATAGAAGCTGTTTTTTTCTCAAAGCCTACCGATAGAGTACTCGGAGGAAGCTCGTCCAGCTCCCATGAAATCCAGATGAACAGAGATTTATAATTATCTTTGAATGATTATGGAGAAGGTTGCATTGAGCAAAATGTACTTAGAGATTTTTATTGAAAATCAAAATTAATATAATGCCAATGCTGCCTACTGTAACTTATAATTTCTTTTTCAAAGTTATATTTTTGCTTTTTATTTTAATTTGGATATTATGTTAGTGACATGTTCATTGTTATGTTGCCCAAAACTATTAAAAGAAGACTCTGAAGCATATTTGTTTTTGATTTTTTAAGATAGCGATTATTGAGCTTAATGAAAACTGTCAGGTACTTACTTCTGTCTTATCTTTTATTTGATGTATTTTGTAGCTTGGGTGATAAATTTCAGTATTTTATTAAATGTTATTTTCCACTTCAAAAATTAAATGTAAAATTTATAAATTCTTCCAACCAAGTATACTAATTTGATTTAAATCATCATCTAATAACTTGATATATTTTTAAATAAATTAACATAAGTATACAGCTATAGATAAAAATGATTTAATACTACGAATATTATATGAATGAGACCTCTTACAGATATGATGTTTACACATTATGATCATGATAGACAAGTAAATAAATTTATGAAGATTCATAATCATTTATTTATTTCATTCCTAATTTAATATACAATAGTATTGTAATTTTTGTCTTTTCTCAATCTTTTAAGATCATCTTACAGAATTGTTAGTTTAAATTATTTTAGTAAATTGGCTATTTCTTAAATCATTTTAATAATTTGTTAAAATTTCCATTCCAAAGTTTAAATATTGAGTACTACTTTATTTGATTATAGGGATGATATAATGATAGAAATTTATCTGACTTAAAGGCCACATAATCTGTTGTCTACCACATTTCTGTCAATAAACCTTTTGATACTAATTGTTATGAAACACTTATGTACAGAACAATAGGCAGTAGCTAATGAGAAAATTCATTCGTTTTTTATTAAATAGGAAAACAAAATTAGCAACTAGTATGAATAAGTGAACTTTTAGTTTAAAATACTACATATACTTACAAAAGGTTTGATGTATCATTTAAAGGCATATATATTTTTTGTAAATTACCCATATAATCCAATGATTGAGTCGTCATTTTGAAGATTAGCATCCTTCAGGTGTGAAAAAGAGCACATTCCTCCCAGAAAGGTCAAGGGAAAATATATGAAGAAAAGGAAACTCTGTATGAGCATAACTCCAAAAATATATAATTTGTGGTTAATTGACCAATGTACTATAAGAATTATTTGCAATGACCACTAGCCATTATATAAAATTAAAACAGAATAATGAAATAAAAAAATTATTAATAAGAAATGAACAACAATGTCTGGGTGTCTTAAATTCCCCGCCCTCACCCCCTGGCCTTGGAAAACCCCCGTATATCCTAAAAAGGCGAGGTAGAAGAGAACAAAAAAAAAAGTCCAGTCATAAAATGCTCGATAAGAGTTTTGGAAGGAAAAGGCAGGGACACAATGTTTGACTTTGCGAAATTGTTTGGACTAGTAAGGAGGTAAACATACTACAAGCCTCCCCACTCCTAGGTTTGGATTTTTCCTTATATCAGGAGAACTATCCATCGAATGACTAAGACGTTCTATGCAAAATTAAAGCTGATAAAATTTTCAATATGATTGATAATGCACCTTTTTTTGTTAACTCGCTTAGTTAGGTATTCTCTCTCAACTTTCGCTAATGTGGAAAAATTTTAACCTCATGTTTTTTACTGTATTTGACTAGCTGCTTTGGTCTTAAATTATAGCATATTTAATCTAGTTCAAAACTGTGTAGAATGTTTTTGTCGGAAACGTATACTTTCATAGTCAAAAAGAGGGAAAACTGAAAAGCACTTTTGGGGGTTTTAAAAAGTGATTCGGGGGAGTGGGTGGGGGAGAGGGTCGCCGAGGTCGAAAATATGATTTTTCATCTCACTCACATCCCATACAACAAACAAAAGAAACCTTCTACCTCCAATTCGATGCGACTTAGAGCCCCTTTACATGACAAGGTTATTTGGCTATATCTTATGGCAGGGGTCTTCAAACTGCGTGGAGCGTCTTGCCTGTAAGCTTCTTCAATCCGATCCGCCAGTTTCTTTGATTACATAGTAAAATTTTAAAAACTAAAGTAAGGTCAGTATAGCTTCCTCATAGTTTTCATTGGATAAGAAATATCTCTATTACAAAGTTTAAAATTTTTCTTACGAGAATAAAATCCTTGGGAGAAGCCGTTTTCGGAAATTCAGTTATCCTTCAATCTATACAGGTTTGATATCCACGAGTTTTATTCTTGAGCGCACAATAAAATGCGAATGAGTTCCGAATTTACATATTGAATATTTGATGATTCGTGATTAAAAAAGAAATTCCAGTGCATTCTCAACATACATATAAAGTCGTATGTAAAAATTGAGTGTTTTACCGAAAAGAATAAAAACTAATTATTTCTTTATGATTTATTAGTATAATTTCATATTTTATTGCCCTCTACTACTTTCCATAGTAGCAGACTACAAAATGTCATCTTTAGCACAAATTGAATAAAATTGAAAATTTTTACATATGATCTATTGCACTAACAGTAGTGATATATACTTAATAGGTATGTTTTCACTCGTAAAATGGACGGAACGAATATACCATAGGAATAATTTAACTTTTTGTTTGTTCGGCGTTAACGACACCAATAGTTTTCTTCAGTCAGGACAAAACTAATTAAGCTGGAATATAAAAATATGCGTTAAGTTCACACAAATATGACATATAAGGAGTAAACGAGCTGACTGAACTTTAATAGATATAAACTCAATCACAAATAAGACTTTTTTTTTTACAAACTCAGAGCAAAAATTAATTTAAATTTACTGAAAATTACATGAAATGTAAGTAAGTTCATGCCAGTAACATTCTTTGCTATTTAAAATCACAAAATATGTTATCTGATTAAGTAACATTCATATCGCCCATTAGTTAGCTTCATGTTTTATTTAGGCGTCAATAAATTTGAAATATGTATAGGTCTTCATTTCATTTAATTTGTAAACCTCATTCATATTCTTTTATTCTTCCTTGGATTAGTTATATTCTGGCGGATTGTCAGTTTCGTTAACATGGAACAAACAAAAATTAAATTTTTTTAGTGACTAGTGTTCCATTCATTTTAATGAAATATTAACATCCACCTAAAACTTCGTAAATAGCTTCATCTCATCGTGACCTACAAATACTTTATTTACCAAAAATTCTCGGATTTGGGGAATTTTCAATCTGAAGTTGGGCAAACTTTGTCTGAATTAGGTACTAAAAAATTAAATTTATAAATAAGGGGATAGAAGGGAAAGAAAGGGAAATAGAATGTAAATGAATGAATGAAAGAAATTGCGAAAAAGAAGAAAAAAGTAATGGCTAAATATGTATAAAAAACCACTGCAAATTATTTCACAATGGTTTATTATTTCCAATCAATTATACATCTAAAGTAACATTACCTTCCTAGTGACAAAGACAAAGAAATAAAAGGTGATTCGAATTATTGCCTTAAACATTTTTTTTAACCATTAGTAATTTGCTAAAAAAAAAAAATAGCATTACTTCAGTAACACATTTTCAAAAATCAAAAACCAAAACAAAGGATATAACCTTTACTGTATAACAAATAAAACATCTAGAGACCATATCTGTTCTCCTAATTGCCTGATTTTTTCAGAAAATTTCGTAAACTTTTAAAAAACCAGTAAGTAGTAGTAATGTTGGTGAAGGAGGATCACCATCGGATGACCTCTGATTTTAAATCCAAATTGGAAAAAAATAGGTCCAGTAGTTTCGGAAAAAAATGCGCGGACGGCGGACGGACAAAAACATTTGTATTCGTTTTTCGAATTCTACGTATACTGAAACATAAAACCTCAAATTTTGGGATGGGGTTAAGTTTTTGAATTTTTCGTTCGATTACAATACATTTTATTGAAAATAATTTATCAAAAATATTGTGTACTATGCTCATATATATTGTTGATTCTATATAGTTGTATATTAGTTTTTAAAAAATGTCCTTAATGTTTGATAGGTATGCTGTGTTTGCAGCAACCCAACATAATTGGACAGCACACTTTTATGAAAATTAAGTGATTCTCTCTGTTTGATTCTAGACATTGGGTATTCGGAAACGGCTAAACATATTTGGTTGAAAGTTGGTATATAAATTAATCTTCTATGGCAAACAGTTTGGCCTCCGTTGAATAAAATTATATACTTTCACATAAAATAATTAATATTAGATTTTCAAGGGTACATAACTTGCCAATTTAAAGTTTTGTGAAAGATTTTTTTGAAATGTTCCTCCAAATAATAAATTTATGTTAACAAATAATATATTTGAATGTCCTGAAAAGTTTTTCCGTGGTGTGAATTTAAAAATTAATACTACTTTATTGTTTTGGGGCGAAAAATTCTTAAGATTTTACTCCCTCCTCTATAATTTGGGTAATAAAATATTAATGATCAATTTCCAACAAGATCAGACAGTTTCTGAACATTTTTTAGCTTGATATTTTCCATTATGCGGTGGAAAGATTGGCTGGTTGACAACAGGACCAACACTATTAGCCAGGGCTACCGCGGGTGGAGGCTGTTAGATCAGGAAGTCACCATGTGAAGACAACGTAACCAAGGATGTCGCGTGTAGAGAAGAACAAAGGAATCGTCACAGGTAGCTGACCATCGAGAAAGTAACAGTTGTTATCTCGGTTCCTTACCTTCCTCCGTGGAGTTCCTACCTACTTTCCCTCAGTTTTGAATTTAGTTTTATTCATCACGCCATTACACAGGATAAAGTCAATGATGGACCATGAAGTTATCAATAACTTTAATGAAGTTGTTTGCGATTATAGGAAATCACACCTAACGATCTGCATAAAAACAAATTAATAACGTAAAATGATCGGTACTCCAAAGTTCCTTCTAACAACGTAGATTCATCATTTCATTGTTATGGTTCGTTTTTACCATATTACCTATCATGTTACATTTAGTGTCTTTTGCGAGTATATTTTCTTAATGGGATTTGTCCTCTCTTTGTACAAAAACTTAATCGCTACTCGAGTAAACATGTCCTGATTCCAATGAGCGATTAACTTTAAACAGAGGAAAATAGTATTCAGGTTAACCAATAATAAATATCAATAATCAACCATTCTTATTGATAATCGATATGATATGCCACTTCTGGTGTATGAGTTAACGAATAATCAATACTAATCAGTTAAAGCGTTTCAATACCGATACCAGCCACAATATTTCCCCACAAAACATCAACATGCATTCTGAACTAAGTAAAAGTCTAGAAGATCACAATTCTTTCATCCCATTGGGTATTCCGTGATTACCAGCCCAAATTTTTAAAAGCCTACT